CCTACCGTGAACGTGTCTCATACCGGACGGGGTATGGAGACTTGGTACTTTGGCACTCATACCGGACGAGGTATGGGGACGACCCGTTTCACCATCATATCGGACGGGGTATTGAACTTTGGTAATTTGGCGCTCATACCGGACAGGTATGGGGATGACCCGTAATTGAGAATGTTAAAGAAAAAAGGTTCACGCATAGCAGGGACATCCCTATGAACCCACATGGATACCAGCAGGCTGGTGGAAAAAGGGACAATTATTGTTTGATGATTTGAATATAAAAGTATAATATGTGCTATGTTGCCAAGTATATACGGAATCATAATATATATAATGTTATTATTTTCTATAAGTTATTTTCTATAAATCTCACTACGGTAAGTGGACGGTAAATGATTTTATTATTGATAAATGAATTTGCTTAATTTAGTACTCCATTAGTTATTTTTTTATTTTTTTTCTACCAACCTTCATTTATGTGTTGGTGATATAGTGTGATATTATTACTAGGCTAGTGTAGCTCATCCCTATTAACCATTTCAGATCAAGAGGACTAGGATCCAAAGCCTGATCCGTAAAAGGGTTACGAGTAGAATGCTAGTTTTCCTTATTTTCCGTTCATTTCTTTATTTTTTTGTATTTATTTCAAATGGGTGAATTTCATAACACTAATTGGTACTTTAAGTTATTGTGTAAGGAATGTAAACCTTGAATATTTATTTCGCTTCTGCATTTTAATTATCATTTATTTTCTTTGGATATTTTTGGGATCGTTACAGTTGGTATCAGAGTCGCGCTCCTCGAACCCATTCTTTACACAAAACCCTTAAGAAACACCAAAAATAATGAATTGTTACTCAACCATTCCTTGTGAAATGCAGGTACATATATATGAGGAGAAGAAGACCCCCACTAAACCGAGCAGCCCGAGAGGGTTCACTTAGAGAGAATGTTGAGCAATTATTTGAGATGGTGGAGAGACTCATTGTTGCCCAGCAGGCCCGAAAGGAAAGGAGGGAACTGCTTGACCCTCCCCCGCTGCCACAGGTTGAGCCACCCCTGTAGCAGGAGGATTCTGAGCCACCTCAATATGACCTTGCTCCTCCACAGTACCACCCGGTACCACCACAATATGATCTGGTGCCCAGCCACTGCATCACCCAGCACCACCACAGTACAATCCGGTGCCTCCACTGTATCGTCAAGTACCACTGCAAGGTCATTTAGTCCATCCTCAGCCTAGCCTAGTCCCTCATCCACAGGACCCAACTCCTCTAATGATGGACCCAAGCTACATAGAAAGGTATAAAAGACTAAATCCTTCTACTTTTGCAGGGGGGTCCTCCTTTAAAGAGGCCGAATTCTGGTTATCTGAGATAGAGAATGTCTTCAAGACTCTCGGGGTGATCCCTGAACAGAAGGGTCATCCTTGCTGCCTATATGCTGGTAGAGAATCAGACCGCTGGTGGCAACTCAAGCAGACCATTCTGCCCTTTCCAGTCACT